TGGACTTGAATGCACTTTGTAGCTGATGCTGGCCTCAAACTCACAGCAGTCCTCCTGCCTCAGCCTCCCAAGTGCTGGTATTACAGGTGTGCACCACCACGCCCAGCTACAATATGGTATTTAAACATCTGTGTCTGGCTTATTTCACTTAAGACTATTGCCTCAAGGTGCATTCATTTACCTAGAAATGTCTCAAGCTTATCCTCCTTTATGGCTGAATAGCACCCCATTGTATAAAGAAAAGCACATCTTTATCCATTCATCAGTTGACAGGCATTTGGGCTGTTTCCAAGATTTAACTATTATAAACTGTGCCACTATAAACATGGGGGTGCATGTATTGCTGTGATGTTTGTTTGTTTGTTTGTCTTTTTGAGATAGGGTCTCGCCGTGCAGTTCAGGCTGGCCTTGAGCTCACTTAGTAGCCCAGGCTGGCCTCAAACTCGCAAGGATCCTCCTGCCTCAGCCTCCCAAGTGCTGGGATTGCAGGCATGCGCCACCAAGCCTGGCTCAAACAACCTTGTGAGTAGATACAACTAGGCACCCCCCAGAGCCCAGGCTCTTGGACTCACAGTCCTCTAACCTCTCTCTCTCTCTCTCTCTCTCCATCCGTGTTTCTAGACAGGGGATTCTCCTTCCTCCTTTCTAGACCAGAACTCGCTATGCAGTTCAGGCTAGCCTTGAACTCACTGTGTAGCCCAGGCTGGCCTCGAACTTGCCACCATCCTTCTGCCTCAGCCTCCCGAGTGCTGGGGTTACAAACTGCATCACACTCAGCTCCCACAACTGCTTTTAAACAAGGAAGCCGAAACTGGGAATGGTGGCACATGCCTGTAATCTCAGCACTTGGGGAGGCTGAGGCAGGAGGATCACTAAGAATTTGAGGCCAGTCTGGGCTGCACAGTGAGTTCAGGGCCACTTTGAAGTACTTAGCAAGCTATTAGTACTATTATCTGATGGCAGTTTGAATTTGAACAGATGAAACTCCAGCCTCAGGTAAGGCTTGAGCACCTCCTGATGACCTTGGTCACTGTCACCAAGAGGATGAACCTGGAGAAAAGTCACAAGTTTCCAATTCTATGAAATGGAAGCCTGGAGGTGGCGACACATGCCTGTAATCACCACACCGAGGAGGCTGAGGCAGGAGGATTGTAGGCAGTGTGAGGCCTGCCTGGGCTACACAGCGAGACCCTATCTCAAAAAAAAAAAAAAAAAAAGTATTGTAAATAAATAAAGATAAAATGGAGAGTGAAATTGTTAGCTCACATATTATTCGTGTTGTGATACATTCTCTGCAGCATTAAGTTTGAAGATATAAAAAAAAGTTTGAAGATATACCTTTTTTTTTTTTTTTTTTGAGATAGGGTCTCCAGGCTGGCTTTGAACTCACAATGATCCTCCTGCTCCAGCCTCCGGAGTCCTGGGACTGCAGGTGTGGGCCATCATGTCCAGGTTTCCATTTTGCAGAACTGGAAAATACCTGGGGAAATACTTTGCAAATGAAATGGGTGTATGGATACATGTTAATGGTTTTGCTGTTAGCTGTACGACTGTGTCACAAGAGGTTCGCTGAGGCCAACCACCCGACCAGGTGTAGGTAAGCCTCTAGCAGTGAGTGAACGCTTTAGATTATCAGTAGAGCGAGCAGGTTTCAAGAATTTTAGCCTTGGGGTGTGTGGTGTGCCTCTCCGTAGTCCCAGTCCTGTGGGAGGCTGAGGCAGGAAGATTGCTAATTGATGCTCAGACTGGATTTATCAAGTCTCAGAAGCGGGTGGTAGTGGAATGGGGACGT